TTTTTTTCTCTTATACATTGAGACTAGATTACACATTTTCTAATTAAATGACATTGTTTTTTGCTAGTTCCATGTCATTCATTAAAACTTTTTCTCCCCCAGCTTTCACTGAGATGTAATTGACATATAACATTGTGTAAGTTTAAGGTGTAGAATATAATGATTTGATATATATGAGGAAATTATTACCACAATAAGGTTAGTTAAGACATCCATCACCTCACATAGTTATGATTGTTTTTTTAAGGACTGCTCTCCTGGGAACATTCAAATATACAATACAGTATTGGTAACTACAGTCACCATGCTGTACATTCCATCCAGAACTGATTCATTTTATAACTGGAAGTTTGTACCCTGTGACCCCTTCACTCCCCCGACCCCTATTCATTAGATCTTGACTGAGTAGGACACCACTAGGTTCCATCAGGGAATAAAAAGACATGGAAATCAGTGGCTCCTTTCCTACAGACATAAATATAATTTTTAATTTTATTTATTTATTTTTCCCCCAAAGCCCCAGTAGATAGTTGTATGTCATAGCTGCACGTCCTTCTAGTTGCTGTATGTGGGACGCGGCCTCAGCATGGCTGGAGAAGCAGTGCGTCGGTATGCGCCCAGGATCCGAATCTGGGCTGCCAGCAGCGGAGCGCGCTCACTTAATCGCTAAGCCATGGGGCCAGCCCCATAAATATAATTTAAAGGAAACATTTATAGTAATTTTAGTGAAGCAACCAGTTCATTCTATATTTTAAATTGTTCTTCAAAAACACTTCATCCCAATTTATTCATCTCTTAATTTAATTTTCAGATTATGTGAAGCTTTATTTCGAGTCAGTTTGAGTCACCACACTTACTATGAATAAAATATTGATTTCTAAATTCTTAAAACTACAGGTAGGTTGACATTATCGCTGAATTTATTTTTACACAAAATATTGAAAATCTACCTATCTATTTCTACTTCCTGAAGCCTGGCACATTCAACTGCCTTTCATGACAAGTAGAGAAAGCATACATCAAAGCTGATAGAATTCACTATTTTGGAATGGGCAAGCAAAATCCATTTTACTGAGAAAAGATGATATACCTATCTTAAGTCATGGATTTTCTGCAGTGTGCCATCTAGGATCAGAATAATGCTGGAAATAAGCAGATACATACGGTTCTCTTTGGTGCAGGCACAACGATGCACGTGCTCTCCCCTCTCCTCTTCTGGAACTCTTCTCTCCTACTAGACACCAAACCAACAGATGTACTATATAACCTCCTTAAATAATGTCACAGTGTTCACTGAGTTTTGGCAGTAATTCAAAATAGAAATTGGAGATCCAGACCAAGTAAATACTGTATATTTGGCAAAATCATTTGTGGTTGTGTTCTTTTGCACAGTTTCCAAGATAACCACCAGCTCTACTTGGCAACCTGACTCTCCCACAGTTAAGGCTCCAATTGTAAAGTTGGCTGGTGAGGCATTTTCCTGCTACTGACTTTGGTGCCATTACAACTCTTAAGAATTACTGTGCAATGGTGGCATAATCATTGAGAAAAATGTTGTTCTGATGAACCAACACTCGCTGCTGGTCCAAAGTTTTAACCTGTCCCCATGATAGGAAACAATTACAGCAAAACAGTCTACACGGTTGTTTACAAAACAAAGACGACTCCCTCTAGGAATTTGAGATGGCTAAGTAAGACTGTTAAATTCTATTAAACCACCACCACCACCACAACAACAATTGAACTTGTAGGAGAAGCAATCAGAGCATAAAAAAGCAGATCTAGTAATATCTAAGTATTAGACATACTAAAATGTCAAACACCCATAGCTTTTGAAGACCTTTTATTTCAAAGTAATTTCATAAGAATTTACCAACTTGGATTTGGGGCAGGATGGAAAATAGAGTTTTGCTAGGTGTGTCTGTGAATCATAAGAAGGGTTTCTTAATGCGGTCGGCAAACAAGGAAATACATTTCAGTAGCAACATTTGGCTTACAACATTGTGTATGGGGCGAGCCTTGGAGGAACTGATAGAGAAATTCTAACTTCAGCAAGTGAAACCAAAACATTAACTCCAGTATTTGTTACTAACACCAGTGCAGTGCCCAAACAGGACTTTGGAAGTCTGTCACAACAACTCCTCAGCAGGTGCATTTCACTTGTTCTGGAAGAGAAGTTGACCTGCCAACGTCTAGTCCACGTGTCACTGGATCAGAATCACATCAATTGCTCTGGCTCCTGGTATGCACCAGCACAACGCCAGATCTAATTAAAGCCTTCATGGTAAATGCATGAATTTAAACAAAGCAAGGGACTTCTCTCATTCTAAGTGAATTTCTCATTAACCATTAGTTCAATACGAAAATAAGCAAGCAATATTGTAGTTTAAGAAAAACTATCTATCTTGATATTGTCCACTATCACTCCCATAAAATTCAATTACCCAAGACAGTGCTATCTGTGAAATTTTTGGAGCATCCAGGTGGTACTATCACCAATATGGTAAATGAAGAACTGAGGTTATGTCTTTTATTGTAAACTATTTATTCCATACTGATTCAAATAATTCCTTTTTTCTAATAAAGGATAAAGTGGTATTTTTATTCAGATTGGTGAATAATATGCACATCTCCTCATAATTATTGAGGCCCCTCATACAATATCAATTAGCATCTATTTTCAGCATAGAAATAGGATGCATAAAATAACAAAAGAGTCTAAATTTGAAGATAGGAAAGAACAAGCCTTCATGGCCACATTCAAAGTCATTAACCACTGTAGGTATTCTTATTTATCAATGTGAGTGTAAAATATTATATGTATTATTAGTTGAATAGCTTGAAGACAGTATATACCACAACATTTGAAAAGTCCCCCAAAAGTAGTTAGATACTAATCTGTTAGCAAAAGGAATTGTTTATTTTTAATTCTGAATTGCTGGAATAATTAACCATAGTTTTCTCAACAAATAGAAGCATTTATGCTAAACTCTGTAGTTTTTTTTTTTTTTTTTTTTTAGGACAAATGAGAACTAACCAAATGACCTGTTTCTTTTTCACAGAGATGAGTAATACTTCTCCCTTGTAATCATGTGAAATAACCTCTAGTATCAATGAGTAAAGTAAACTTCACTGCTTTTCCAGAGATCAAAATAGAAAGAGTTACAAAGTGAACTGCTGAGGACAGATAGTTTTGGAAATCTGATTCATAGAGTAATGTCCATTACGATGCTTTTCCTTCTGACCACCTTTCAATCATATACATGCCTTCTAAACTTAGCTGTGACTTTCGGATCTTTCACCAACACCTCTCTGCTTAATAACATTAAAAAATCAATATTTATTGCGTTGTAATTTATATTCTACTTCAAACCTATCATGAAACACGTGCAGACATGTAAAAGAATATAACTCCCCTCCAGTGTTTCAACTTTCCATTAAAATGCAAATATAATGATTTCATTAGCCAAGCAACAATACCCACAGTCTTTACCAAACCAAACCAGTATCTTTTCTCTGTACATCCCAACTTCCACTAAGATACAATCTTACTCTTATGTCAGAATATTTGTTAATGAATATTTTTGGATTTGGATTTGCTATAATTTTCCTTGATTAGAGAGGGAAAAGCACAAGGTGTGATTTGAAATTTTAAATTTATGGATGTATCCTACTCCCTAGACAGGCAAATATAAAAATATTTCACTAAATTTTAAGCAAGCAACTGGAAAATAATTCTTTTTTCAATTTCTAAACACTAGATGGGGGGGGGGGGACATCACTCAGTGTAATTAAAGTATGTCATGAGGGCAACAGCCAGCCAAGAACACATATTCCATGTTCGACCTTCCCCGGAGTCTATCCAGGCCACACTTTGTTCTGCCGTAGGTAGAAAACTCTCCGTACGAACTCTGTTAGCCTAATAACACAGACAAGCTCGGCAAGATTGGAGAGTGTGCGTGTGTGTGTGTGTGAAGAAGAAGACAAGAGAGACAGAGAGAAAGGCAGAGAGATAAAACACCGAAGAAGAGAGAGCAGCCGAGAAAGAAAGAGAAATTTGGATGGGACTGTTAGAAATCCGCTCTCTCGTCTCCGCTTCAGGGCTGGCATTGGGTTTCACTTCTTCGGCGCCCCTGACCTTGCAGTCTCCACTCGCAGGCCCCCTCCTCCGACGCCCGCCCCCTCCCCGGCCTGTGCCTGCCTTTGTGTCCGCCTGTCACTTACCGGGGACAAACGAAGCTGGTCGCGAGAAGCACAAAGCCCGGACACAGATTTGTCCACAAATTCTCTTACACTTATTCCCCGGGCTGGAGGGCACAGCGCATCGCAGGGCTGCTGTACCTTGAGAAAAGTGGGTTCTGGTCCAGTGCGGGGGACCAGAGAAACTACTCTTTCCTCTCTGGCTCAGCGCCCCTAACAAAACGCGCGGACTTCAGGGAAAACAAACCCCCACCTGGTGTACCCCAGGCCCAGTCCCCGTGACATTCGCTTCGGACACCCCCAAATGGGACACGGGGCTGGAAAGGGGCGGACGCCAACGCACACCCAGACCCAGACCCTACAGCCGATAAAAGGGTGGAAAACCCTGGGCCGCGCTCTTTCCGGGGGGGTCAGGGGAGACGGAGGCTGTTCGCCCGCACGAAGGGAGGGGGTGGGGAGGATTAAAGGGAAAAGCAGTGCCCCCCAAAGCTGCACTATTTTAGAAAGGAAAGCCAAGAAAATTCACTTCCCTTAGGGTAAAAGGCCGGGAACCCGGCCGGCCGGAGTCACAAAGGTAAGTGTTCCGGGCAGGGAGGGGACGAGCACTAGCGGAGACACAGAACTCCAGGTTTAAAGGGGAATTAAACTATTTGTCAGCCATGTTGAAGAGGCTCCAGTAATTTGTGAGCTTCCCTCTTCCCTCCGGTGTCCGGGGGTGACACTGCGGGGCGCCGGGGCCCGGGGGCCCGGGGGAGCGCAGGGGAGAGGAAGGGGCCGCGGCGCGCGGGGAGCGCTCTGACCTCGTCTGTCCCGCAGCCTCGCAGCGATCCGGCGCTCGCGGTCGGTCCTTCTAACAAATCCTAAAGGGCAGCCATCTTGCTTCCTTCTGCTTCTCTACGACAGCAGCCTAGCCTCCGCATCAATATTCATAAGGCACTTTGACGTCTGTTCTCATCGCTGGCGGGCCGGCGTCCCAGGGCGGGCGCGCCGAGGGGGCGGACGTGACTCGCATGCGAGCGGGCTGGGCGCGCGGCGCTGCCGGGCTGCCGGCCTCCTCTCCTCCTCCTCCCGCTCCTCCTCCCGCTCCTCCCGCTCCCGCTCCTCCTCCTCCCGCTCCGGCTTCTCCTCCTCCCGCTCCTGCTCCTCCTCCAGCTCCTGCTCCCGCTCAGGCTTCTCCTCCCACTCCCGCTCCTCCTCCTCCTCCCGCTCCTCCCGCTCCTGCTCCCGCTCCTGCGCCTCCTCTCCTCCTCCTCCTCCTGCTCCTCCTCCTCCCGCTCCTGCTGCTCCTCCCGCTCCTCCTCCTGCTCCTCCCGCTCCCGCTCCTCCTCTCCTCCTGCTCCTCCTCCTCCAGCTCCGGCTTCTCCTCCTCCAGCTCCTGCTCCTCCTCCACCTGCTCCCGCTCCGGCTTCTCCTCCTCCCGCTCCTCCTCCTCCTCCTGCTCCTCCCGCTCCAGCGCCTCCTCTCCTCCTCCTCCCGCTCCTGCTCCTCCTCCTGCTCCCGCTCTTGCTTCTCCTCCCGCTCCTCCTCCTCCTGCTCCTCAGCCTCCTCTCCACCTGGCCTCCTCCTCCCTCCAGCCTCCATTCCAGGCTCCTCCTCCTCCCCCTCCAGCCTCCTTCAACTCCACCCAGCCTCCTCCTCCACCCGGCCTCCGCTGCCGCCCTGGGCCCCTCAGTCCTGGCTCCTAGAGAATCAGCCCCCCGCTCAGGGCTTCCCGCACAGAGGCGGGCGGCACCTGAGGGCTGAAGATGGGGAGCGCATGTGAGGCCCGGCTGCTCTCCTTGCGGAGTGGAGCAGGAGCCTGCGCTGGTATGAGCGGGGGAAGGGCCAGCCCTGGGGCACCCCAGGGACCCCGGGACGGTCTCTACCGCCGGTTAAGGAGCAGGGCAGGCTCGAATGGGGAGGTGGCCTGGGTGCCTGGCACAAGGACGTGAGACCCCAGATTAACCTTTTAAACCTTTTCTTGGTACCGCACTCCACCACCCTTAGAGGTATCTGCGCACCACCCCACCCGCGCTCATAATCCCCAGCCCCGCCCCTCCCACTAGCCTAACACCCCCCTCCCTGCAGATATTCCCGCACTCCCCCCCACTAGCCCTTACTCCCCCCTCCCCCGCAACCCCACTCTGGCGCATCGCCTACATTAGCCCTACTCCCACCCCCCTGCACTAGCCCTTATTCCCGCGTACCACCACCCCTGTGCACCCCCTGCACTAGCCCTTATTCCCACCCCCCTGCAGGTACCCCCACTAGCCCTTACTCTCCCCTCCCTCCAGGTACCCCCGCACCCCTATCCCCTGCCCGCACCCCCACCCCCTGCTAAACCCACTCTCCCCGCCTTACCCCCTTGGGGTCCCCTCCACACGTCGCTTTAATCTCGCTCAGCAGAAGCACTCCCCAGTTTCGCTGAGGGCACGCCCTTACTGCTTAGAGACCTGTAGTTTCAAGACTCGACAAATTGGGAAACTGACGGATCCTGCTCTTCCCCGCCCCGCCCACCTTCTGTTTACTTTGGCCACGTGGGCGGGAAGGAGAGGGATTCTCGCCGATCCAGGACAGGACTCTACTTCTAGATTCATTGTAGGAAATGAACCCGCACTCTCAAATGCTTAGGTTTTCTTTCGTAAGAGCTTCTATTTTGAAAAAATTGCCACCCTTAAAATTAAGTGATGAAGAAATCGACCCATAAAGATCTAAATTCGGAGTGACGGACGCTCGATTTTCCTTGACGTTGGGGGTCTGTTGCTGAGCCCTTTCATTGACGGTTTTTCTACTACCGAGGAGTTTTACTTCTCTTTTTAATGCTCCTTTTTGTAATCATAAATTTTTTATTTGAAGATGAGATGAAGAACAAAGCCCATATGTATCATGATATCAGATAATAGTTTGGGGATTTGCCTTCTCTGAGAAGTTCTCCCGTTGCTGACATTCACATCTTAATAGGTACTTGGGCTCATCTTTTATGGATCACTAGGGGTGACCACAATACTCTGAGCCAATGCAAGTTATTTTGTGTAGCCCACTTTTTTGTGTCTGTAATTTCTTTAGAAGTGAAGTCTCCCCTAATTTTATGAAATCGGAATATTTCCTCTTTGAAAAAGGTTAAAAAAGGGAACTCTTTCTGTGTGTCACGTTGTTACTAAGAAGAACGTTTAAAGTATCTTTTAATGAAACATTGTTTATTCCACGTTGAAACAAAGTTGACTCAGATTTCCGACTGTGCATAGGCTAAGCAAAATCGTTCATTTTCCGCTAAGCATTTCATGTGAAAATGAATTTCTGTTCCTTTCCCACTGTACACTGAAGTGTCATTGAAGTCTTGGCAATTGCTAGTGGGCTTTAATCTGTTTGGGAGATTCTTCGTAATTTGTTTTTCAAGTCCAAAAGTAAAGTTTTGTGAAGACTGTGACATATATTTGTGTCGTGCACCGTGCAGCAGAATTGTTGAAAGCATGGGCTTTGGAGTCCAACAGACCTAAGTGAATCTTGGCTTCATCCCTTTTAACTAAGCGTGTGACCTTGAGCGTGGTCCCTAACTCTCTGTGTATGTTTCCTTATCTGTTAAATACCCTCTAAAACAACAGGATTGTTGTGAGGATTAAAGAAGACACTAGGTAAGTGCTGAGGTGGTCATTACTATTACCAACCATAAACCATCTACTTACAGGAGTTTTTCTTGATTGACTAGAAATATAGAAGTAATTATATGTCTTCTTCCTTGAATAACATGTGGCAAATATTGTATTCATATGTTTGATATAAACATCTGCCTGTCCCTTAATTATTTATGTGATAATTGGGAAAATGATCTTTAAGGTCACCTCCTTCTCCTTTCATCTTTTAAACCTCTCTCTCTGATGTAACAGGTGGTTCTTGTCTATCTGGAATCATACTCGGCTCGCAGTTGGTTTTGCAACAGGCCCTCAACCTTTTCTTGCCAACTTCTTTCTCTGCACCCCCACCCTACCCTTAATCACCATGACATTTGTTAACTTAGAAGAAAATACATTACTCCTCTTGGCTATTGTGATTTTTCAACAGCAAAAGGAAGTAAAATTCTGAGGGTCTCCAAGTGTAAAGTATTTTAGTGTAAAATTTTTAGTGAGATATTTAGAGATATTTTAGTGAGTATTGTTGATTTAAAAAAAAACCCTCTTAGTTGCTATTTCTGGGAAAGAAAAGAAAGAGTGCACGTGATCAGCTGTTTACTGGACATTAACGCACATTCGTGTGGGTAATTCAGAGCCAGCTTTTATTAATTGTGTGCATTCTTGAGATTCCTCCTCATATAAGTGTGGATAATCTATTTTTAAAAAATAATTTGCTGTTTTAACAACAGTCAATTGTTATCAAATTCCTTACCATTTTTTTTCCCTCAAACTAGAAATAGCAGCACTGCTTCCACACAGAGAAATTCTTGCTTCCTTAGAGAAAAGAGATGAAGAGAACAAGTTCCATGACATACTATTCTGGGTTGGAAGACCTGTTTGATTGGCCTGGGCGCCTGCTGTCTAACTCAGTTGCTGGGTCTCTAAGCCTCATAGGGTGGAGGCAGCTTCCTGTCTGCTCTGTCCATGAAAGAGCTGACAACAGCAGCTTACTTTACAATGCAAATTTCTTGTATTGTACTAACAGAAAAATAATAGATGATTCTTAACTTCCTCCCCACCTGCAGAAAAGGAAATTTTCTTTAAGGGCTTGATTTTCTCTTTAACAGAGAGAAACAGTTGTGATACGTTCTGCTTTGAAAGAATTATAGTGGTTTAACAAAAATATTAAATCATGGGATGTTGTTTCCCATCTCTGAAAACATATTTCTGATGTATGGCATGGTGAAGATTCTCTGCATGCTTAGAAGACAGTTGACCTTCAAACAGCACAGCCATCATGGCTGTGAGGGGCTGAATTGTTTCCTTTTGTCTGGTGACATTGCTGTGCACCACACGAGGGCACATACTTAACATAGTAGAATGCTAACTTTAAAAATCTCCAATACGGGCCGGCCTGGTGGCGTAGTAGTTAAGTTCATGCTCAGCGTTGGCAGCCTGGGATTCATGGGTTCCGATCCCAGGCACGGACCTACGCACCACTTGTCAAGCCATGCTGTGGTGGCTTCCTATATACAAAATAGAGGAAGGTTGGCACAGATGTTAGCTCAGGGCTGATCTTTCTCACCAAAAAAAAAAAAAAAAAAAGAAAAACAACGACAACAAAAAAAAAACCAAAAGAAAAACTCCAATAGATGAAACATTTAGATATAACACTTTAACTCACTGATATAAATTATTATGACTAATAAAAACCATTATTGTCTAAAGCCAGGGATCATAATAGTAGGAGAGTCTTGATAGATTTTCTTTTATTAATATGATTTCTACCTACTTTTTTTCTGACCTTATTTCGTATCGTTAATTTCTCTTTCTATAATTTGGAAATTTCAAAGACATAGATACAAATGATATAATCCTAATTCACTCAAATCCTGAGCTATCCAATGTGTGTACTAATTTAATGGGGGCAGAATGAAATGTCAGATGAAACTCAAGAGTCTAATCCTGTTAAAATATTGCCAAAAGCATTATAAAAAGAGCATTGGGATCATTAGTGGGACAAACGTCATGGAAATGCCTCCAGAAGTATTGCAAATATGTTGCTAATATCAGTCTCTGTTCTTCTCATAAATCCTACTTCCCAGTCCAGTAATGACTCTTATTCTCATCTAAATTTGGTAGCTCACTTAATATCCCACTTTCTTTTGAGAGAATAACTTTTCAACTTTAATGGTGAACTTCAATAGTGAATAAATTTTAACTGGAAGTAATTACCTCAGCACCATTTTACATTCATATAGGATTTTATAGTTTTTAAAGCATTTTTGTACACTATTATGTTTTTGACGGTGAATTGTACACTATTCTGTTTAATATTCAAAATCATATGTCATCTCCAAAATGGCATTAATTTACTTCCATCTATAAGTATGACAAGTGAAGTGAGGTGGCTCCCCCAAGCTCACACAGCCTGTGAATGGAGGGGGCCCTCTCAGACCCGAGTCTTGCGAACCCAAGATCAGGCCTTTTCGTTACAAAAACTACCCTCATAGCTTTCCCTG